CTCAATGGTACATTTCGGAGATTTCTGTTTATGCAGACACTCTGTACTGCCAATATTTCATCCATTTGTGCAATGAAGCAATATTGAAATGCTGAGTTCAATGAGTATTTCGTTATTAACATGTTCGCAAGTATTCCAACCACAAACCTCTAATATAATTAAGAAATTTTATTGCAATGGAGGCAGTCTAATTTTTAAATTTTTGACGGGATACCATTGTCATTTTGCACAACTCGCATTACTAACTCTCAACAGCCAATTACATATCCAATTTTAAATGCCATGCATTGTTCTACTAGAATCGATCAAAATTGTGAAATGAAAATATTGTCTAGATAAATATTGAATCCTCCTCATAGTTCAATCTTTAGATATCGATATTATGGCTTCAGAGTGATAATGTTTGCATGTTTCTACAACCTTATCAACTCTATTGATCTGTTAACACGTGAGTGGAATCCTTTTTGATTTAAGTGTGTGTTTGTTTTGTGGTTCAGATGTCACTTTTCTCTATGAATCGCTTATTAATTTGAAACATTCGTCCTTCGCGCTAGTTTGGGAATCGAATTTCAAACACTTTTGACTAATAGACAAGCGTAGAAGACTTTCTGGAAATGTCCAAAGAAATCGTAAGATTCTTGCCAGGCACGACAGGTAAATGGAGGAACAGAAACAAACGCCTTCTAATACTTTTCAACAAGATCTTCCTAATGAAATGCACCAATTCAGACAAAACTTTGAAATGGAATTAGGTAAATGCTCAGGTAGCCAATAATTGCCAATGCATTGTGTGAGTTATGAAACTTGTGAGTTTCTCTCCGGTGCAATAAAAAATTTCAAAAAAAGCTTCATACGAAACAGGGTTGAATAGGCGTCTCATTGTTGGGCAGAGAACACTGGGTAAAAGCTGTGAATGTGAATAAGATAGAAAGATAATTGAAAGTAAATTTCACCCAGATTGTATAATTCTGATTACTATTATTGATCAATGGGATATGAGACTGGAAATGGTGAGATAGAAACAAGCAATGAAGCAAGAATAGCACTTTATTTGAACCATGGGAGCAAAACTGTGTTCGTATTGACATTTGAGATATGATTGATTGGGAAATGTTCGATAATTTTAAGTGATGATCCACAAAACGGTTCTTTCGTCCGAGTTGAGACAGATTAGAATTGTGATAATTTAGTTTATCTAGAGTTCACGTGGAAGTCCACATTGAACTAATTTTTCGAATACCCATTTTCAGCCCTTATGTTCCATGTTAGCTTCATGATTAGGAAAACGAAAAGAAAGCCATCACCAATTGATTCTTCACTTTAAGATAAGAAAAGGATGAGGAGATGGAGCAAGGAAAAATCAGATTCCAGTGACGGTTCATCCTTCACTCCGGTATGCTCAATTGCAAACACGAAGAATGAAAGAGAATCGATTGAAGATGCACTGCCTCCTCCTTCAGAGACCACGAGTTGGAGTGATTATGCGTGATTACTTAGTTAGAGAGAGAGAACCTGGAATAGCGTTTCTCAAAACAAACTGGACGCTGAAAAAATTGTGACCTGAAACCATAGTCCCTATGATTTCACAAAATTGTCATACCCACAATCTTTGTTAAATATGCCAATTGTCTATGTTTAAACACTTGTAACTTTTCCTATTACTGTTTAAGTTCATTAGCACTCATGAAAATTGCCTTCGCATTTCAATCAATTGCCCTTATCCATCCTCCTGGCATGCTCATCTCTCTTCTACACTCTCAAATGTCTGAATGTGGTTTATTCAATATCTTTTGGACTACAAAGCTTCCTGAACTCAACTTTCATCATTGTTCACTGCAAGCCATTCAACAGGCAGCCATGATCTTGTTCCGAAGATTTTAAACACTGTGTGAGAGGGAATAGAATTTTGACAGCTTAATTGTGACTTAATTTAAAATATGAGTTATAATAATAAAACTACTTTCAAATAACATACCATTACGATATTATATAAAATCGGTTAAGTTCGTTTAAAAATGGGGGATTAGTGTGGAATGGGGATACTGTGGTAGATTGCTATACTTGTAAAGTTTTGGCTGACTCACTAATCCCTGTGGCAGATTCTCCTATGTCTACCTAGACTCCCAGAACTAGCTAAGCCACAGACCAGATGTAGAGGAACCAGACGCATCACACGGAACACGTTTAGTTGGGAAGTATAGTGGGGAGAAAGTGTACACGCCGTAAGATTAGCCATGATCAACGTGGCACATCTTCTTAAGCAAACAAAGACCGTTGATTTGCCACTGGTAATACGCGCGCAAGTGATCACGCTGGAGGCGATAACGTGTCCAACGATACTGAGTGGGTTGGAGGCAGTGATAACGATTGAAATCATGAAAAAGGTATGACATTAAAGCATATACTTGAATAACAATGGTGTTCACTTATTTTCATTTCCATTTAAGGTAAGAATGACTGAAAAGAGATAAGTGAATTAATTCGAAATACTTTATGATTTGCAACATAACGTCGACTTAAACTCAAAGATGCTTATGAAGAGGGTTATACCATGTACACGAATTCCTCCCAATTATTTATCAACTTTCAAATGTGCTTATAATATTTCCAATAAATCATGCAGTGAATGATACATTAATTTAATATTCCAACTTGAGTACGTTCACTTTATTCTTGAGTTTTATTATTTATTAATTTCCAATTTCTTTCCAATGGCAGACGTTTTGATTGTTATCATTGGTCCTTTAGCTGACTTCAGTCTTCACAGAGGTGAGGAGCATGAAAGTGAGAAAAAGTGGAGAGTGGGAACAGAAGAGTGATGCACAGATGTAAAAGTGGCTGACAGACAGCACTAAGGCAGAGGAAATGTAAGATGTAAGATGAGAGAGAATCGATTGAAGATGCACTGCCTCCTCCTTCAGAGACCACGAGTTGGAGAGATTGTGCGTGACTACTTAGTTAGAGAGAGAACCTGGAATTGCGTTTCTCTAAACAAACTAGACACTGGAAAAATTGTGACCTGAAACAATAGTCCCTATGATTTCATAAAAATTGTCTATAGTCGCATTCTTTGATCAAATATGCTAATTATCTACCTTAAAACCCTTGCAACTCTTCCTATTACTCTTTAAGTACATTAGCACTCATGTTAATTGCCTAATTATGTATCAACTTTCAAGCGTGTTTATAATTCTGTCAATAAATTATGCAGTGCCTGAGACTTTAATTTAATATTCCAATTTACATTCGTTTACTTTATTTTTGACTATTATCATTTATTTATTCATTTATTTCCAATGACAGGCGTTTTGATTGTTATCATTGGCCCCTTAGCTGACTGCAGTCTTCACAGAGGTGAGGAGCAACAACGTGAGTAAAAGTGGAGAGTGAGAACAGAAGAGTGATGCACAGATGTAAAAGTGGCAGACAGACAGACAGACAGCACTAAAGCGGAGAAAGTGTAAGATGTGCATTGTGAAGTGGTCGGATATGACATAGAGTGGGGTCATGGTAGTTTGAAGTGGTAATTTAAGTGGCTGTTAATAGACTTTTTGCCGTATGAATATACGTTGCCCAGGGTGCACCACGTGGAGGTAAGTCTATCGCACACCCCATGTTTTTTTTATTTTTACTATTACCATTACAATTATAATTATTGTTACCATTATTATCATTATTGGGAAATTGAAAATGAGCAGAAACATTATCGCAATATATCAAAAGTGAAATTCAAATTTTTACACAGTTATTATTGTTCTTTTTTTGCAATTTCATGGCACTAACGCGAATGCCTGAATTATCAACCGAACATGCGACAATTTATAACTCACAACGGTTTGCTCTTTTATTGCTAATCGGTTTACCCGTCTCCTATCCTGTGCTCCAAATTAGACAAATTTAGAATAAAGCAAAACACTATAGAAAAATTTACTTTTCAAAGATATTATTGTTTTAGTTGTTGTGTAGTGTTGGTGGTAATAATTTGTTAAAACGTTAAACCGAAAATCTAGATCATTAATTTTGTGATGGCTATGCATAACTTTTAAGGAAGGGAATTAACTGCTATTTTCCACAAAAATTAATATAGCGAAGCACCTCATTAATTCTATAATGAATTCCTTTGGACTATTCAATCTTGAATGCAGCATATGTGACCAGTAAGAATGTGTCATCGTGAGTCGTATTACCCGAACCCGGATCAAGAGGCAAGCCCTCATGGCTTGTTTAGTGAAGAAAGGAGGGTCTAAAATAAATATTTTTGGCAAAAGAGGAATTTTCGCCATAAGTCTGTATTGGACATCTATGGTAGGGTCTCATTGCTTACTTCCTTAATTAGACTGACCACATTTCATGCTACGCTATTTTTTATAACCTTGCATCAGCATTAATGCTCTGTTCACAAGTATTTTTGTGGTTACAAAACGTGATGGTAACAAATGCTTTAAAGTGTTCATAATTTGATGAAAAGAGAATAAATGTCACGGTTCGAGAGTTAGAACACCTATCTTCTAGGTATGGACGACAATAGGCAATTATCAGTGTGGACTTGTCCTTAAACACTCCCACTACCCCACCCTCTACCCCACCATCAACCAGTGATACCAATTACACCAGACACAGATAGTCCCCAATTTCTTGGATCATTGAAATTGTCTAAAACTTTGCTGAGGTTGCTAAAATAAAAACATACATGATTCCTAGCCCATTTCTGATAGCACCATCTTACTAGTTGAGAAATGAGCTTTCGTTTGCTCCCATACAAATTGAAATTGAATGAGACGAAACCAACCAACTTTATTGCTAATATTATACCTTTACAAGCTAAATCCCACTCCAAAGTACTATTGGAAGATCTCCTTGAATTATATGCGAATTTTCTCGAGAATTAGCAGGAGGAAAGCACATTCTACCGAAGAAAGTAAGTTATTAAAAGATAAACAAGCATACAATATATATATGCATATACATGTGCATATATGTACGTATATGTACAGAGTGAATCATTGTCTGAGATAGAATTGTGGTTTCCCATAAAAGCAATGCCGCAGCGGTTTCAATTCCTGCAAAATTTGTGTCACGATGGAAGTATTGCGAGTGCTATCCGAAGTGAGCAGACCTCTTGCTCCCAGCTTCCTCAAAAGTTCTTGCATTGTGATTGGCCTACGCAGGAGGTAATTTCGAATGGTGTCAAATAAATTTTCATGTGAGGATTTAACTGGCGGATTAGAAGGAGGTGGAGGAGAAATTTCACTTGGTTTGAAACGTTTTGGAGGAGGTGTGAATATTTGTGAAGCAACCGGTGGGGTTTTTTTCATCCCTGAAGAGAACGATTGCAAACAGTGTGAAGGTCCTGAAGACAGTTCACTCTTCAGTTGAGACTGACCATTGAAATCTTCTTCAGTATCAGAAGAACTACTTGAAGANGAAGAAGATGAAGACAAAGACGATTTCTCGGTCTTCTTCATCTCGTCAAGGAATACCTCTCTACTAATCCTTTGATTTTGTTGTTGAGTTTGTGTGCCTGCCCGTATTTCTCCCTTTGTGTCTTCTCCACCATTCCTTCCCTTTTCCTTCACCTCTTCCTTGCAACCGTCTCTATTTTCATCTTCCTCATCATCGTCATCATCACCGCTAATGAATCCCATCTCCTGTTCAACACCCTGTAAGTCGTAAAGCTTTTCTCTCTCTTCTTCGGAGAGTTCATTCTCATCCGAAGTGGAATCTGTCAAATAGTCCAGTTCATACTCGTCATAATCATCCATATCACTTTCCTCACCATTCATGTCGAAGTGTCCTCCATCCTCCTCCTCGTCCGAACCGAAAGTAAAATTATTCTTGTGTTTTCGACGAGTTGCAGCAGGTCGACCTCTGCGTTTATTGCTTCTACGTCGTCGCCTTTCTTCCAACCTCTTCTGGGCTATTATCTCCTTAATATCAGACTCTTCGTCCCCCGATCCCACTTCATCATCATCACTTCGATCGTAGATCTTCCACTCGTCAAATTCTGAAATTACAAGTCTCGATCTCATAGGTCGTTTCCTCATTTCATGCTTGGCATTTCGCAAGAGATCAAAGTTGTTGTAGATTCTATCTCTCACAGAAACCTTCCCCTCTCCTCCCTCCTCATTGGAACGCTTACTTTTCACGACTTGTTTCACTCTATACCATTCAGACACCGGATAGGCATCAAAGCCTCCATCGCTCCTCTGAGTGAAGATGAAGTATGCACTACCAGTTAATGTCCCCTCCCCCACACCTCGATAATTTTTAGCACTTTCTCCTTTGCCAACAGTGAGCAGCAAGGGCTGCTTTTCCGTCGAGTATTCTTCCACATCACTGCCTTCTTGTTGTCTTCGAAATCGAGGATTCCGTCTCCTGTCTGCTCCAAACTCACTACCACCTCCATATGTAGGCTTCTTCTCCATGCACTTGGAGTAGGAATCCATGTTGTTCTCGCGTTGAAGGAATACCTCCTCTTTAGAGTACAACTCAACATCCTCCTTATTGTACTTCAGCACACTGAATCTCCGATTTGCATGTGGATGAACGCGTATCTTGAAGAAGGGAAAAGAATAGATTCATTCATTCATTCACTCATTCATTCGATAAATCATTCGATAATTCATTCTATTTCACAAACCAGGAAGAGTTCTTCCTGGTTTGCGAAATAACGTAGAACTTAATTTCGTTTTATCTTTCAATTTATCTGTGTGAGATTTATGAATCTCAGTGCATGTTTCGCATTCAATCTGAAGCACGACAACTGCTTACTCGAAGTATTTCAATTTAGTCTGTTTATTTAAGTGAGATAAGAGAAAGAGTGTTCTGTAAGACTATGGCTTGATCTTGGGATACTTGCAGTTGAAAGGAAATTTTGTTAACCGCTCAAATTAGTCACGATTTAATACTGCAACTACACCCTAACCCCCCTTCCCTCCAACCCCCACATGATTGAAACTTTCGAACATATCCACAGCCAACATTTTACTTCCAACCCTATTCTTCTAAGTGGTTACTCATTCGAGCTTGTTCGATTGAACTTCTCATCTGCAACCACTGTAGGCTCTTAGTTAATTGGTGGTCCATTTCCAAACTCTACATCTTATTGACTCGAATCTTATTCCGTTGGAACCTGGAGTCGTGTAGAGTTTTGCCTTAACACTAGTGACATTCGAGAGTGGGCAAATTGAATTAGCTTTCTATGATTTGTGGACTGACAGGGGTGGGGTGGGATTTGGTGGGGGAGGGGGGGATATGTTGGGTTATTTAAAGATTGGGCCTATTTTATCGACAATGGGAGCAATATTCAAGGTTAACCCAACCAATAAAGAGAATAATATTACTAGAGTACATACTCTACATGAAAACTTGCTTTCAAACCGATCCGCAATAAAATGATCCAAACTCCCTATCTACGTGAACTTTACATGTTGAACATAATTTTCGCTTACATACTAGAGAGTGTAAATTACTAAGACTTGGTAGTAAGTGCGTGACTGACAGTAAGTAAAATAGGCTGATTAATAAGTAAATGTCTACTTTGAATGAAATTAGACATTTGGAATAATTAGTTGGAATTGTACTCACCGGCATCCGTGAACGGACAACGGCAGTTGCATCTTCTTCTTCTTCGTCTTCTTCATGTTTTATTGCCTTTCGAAGGAAGAGGGATAATGGCTTGGTGGACTGTTTTAGAGTGGACCTGATGTTGAACTTCTCGGCCATTCGCTTCATGGCATTGTCAATAATTTCATTTCTGCGTGATCGAAAGGTTTTCATTGGGGAAGTGGACTTTGGCTCCAGGTATGGCGATGAGTTGTGGGGACTTTCCTGTTTTTCAATCCCATTTGTTGGCATTTGACTGGGTGTTGGGGACGACTGAGGGACAATTTGAATGCACCGGTTAGGTTGTTTTCCTGATGGTAGTATAACGGGGGTTCCAGTGGCCCCAAGTGCTTTGGCAGATCTGTTGATGTAGATTTGACGTTTACCGATAACATTAACTGGGTTCTTAGGTGCACTTTGACTAACAGTGTTATTAACGACTGTATTTGAGGATTCGGGTTTGAATACAGGCAAGACCTTCACCATATTGACCGGTTTTAGTTGTTGGTTGTTGTTATGAACTTCAGTCATTATTCACTTGATTAATGAGAAGGAGGTTAAATGCGACGCAATAGAACACTGAAATGGAGCAGAATGAGAAATAAGAGAGTAAGAGAGCCTTTTATACTGAAGTTTGCCCATCGGATTCAAATAACTGAGCATGCTCGATTGTATTGGCTGTTGTGATATACTCGAGCCCAATCAACCAATCAGGTCATTTACAGTGTGTAACCAATAAGAAAAATGCGCTCACATTTTGCAGCATACAGAACTCGAAGAGCTGCAAGAGCTGAAATACCAAGTATATATTTTTCAAAAATTAGGCCCTATTTTGATTAACCAATTCACTACATACTTCAAATTCCGGAAAATGCTGCAGAAGTATGACACTAAGATGTTTTCATTTAAGTTCCTCGAATTTAGTCGGCCAAGTGTTCTGTAAATACTGAATATTGAGCACGTAATTTCTTTTTGAATGTTATATTAAATCAACAAGGCCAATAATCATTCTGACAGTCCGCTAAATATGTGCATCGAAATTAATGCTGGTTCAAACAAGACACCGTTTGGCATACTATTTCACTACAACGGCATCCAATTTGATCGGAGTTGTAGCGTATTAATTGAAGAAAGATTTTGCTCGAGGTAGTGCATTTCTCACCGCAAGTGATACGAGTCGTTGTCCCAGTGGTCAACATGTGTGCTACTAAGTCATAGGTCACAGCAACTTCTGTTAGGGAGTTATCATACTCGATCGTGAATTATGCAGTGAACCACTGGAGGTATACATCTGGAAATGCTTAAAGGTAGTTTCCAAAGTGTAAACCCTGGATTGGCTTTAAAAGTGGATGGGAAAATGACGAAATCTTTTATTTACTTAGACCACAAGGAATAGTACGTGTTTGCAAAATCATCCTTGTTATTCTCGTTAGGGTATTGCGAAATCACCTAATTTGCCATTCTAATCAAATTATGCATCCATCTCAAGATTGACAGAAACTATGTGATGAACGAAATAGACTTTTCCTGAGGTGCTTTAAATGAGATAAATTAATGCCCCGGTAATGTTTGGCCACCTTGGAGCAATGAACTCAATAGGTATGCCCACAACACAGCCATTAGTTGTTCCGTGTTTCCCCAATAATTTTGCCATATTTAACTGAGTATAGTATAGCAGAGGTAAACTAAGGCCTCCCAATTTTAGCTTTTCTCATAATGTAATAAAAGGCATAAAGTACATCCCATGTAATAAAATTTGTCTTAGGTCAATTTAAAGATAAGTAATCTGATTGTTCTGATGATGTCGACGTTCTGACCTGAAGTGACCTGCTTTGGTTATTACATCGCGTCTACGACATATGCTGTACTTTTGGCACATAATACACCGACACTATTAATTCCTTTCTTTCAACTTTTGCCGAGATTGGCTCTAGACATTTTGATTTCTTACAAGCAATCAAAATGTACTCTCTGCCCGTAGACTTCAGCACCAAAAGCACAGCACAACGAAATTGCCCACATTGTAGATTAGCATGTTCCTGTTTCAGTATTGTGGATGACATTCTAAAATGTATTTATGCACACAACCACTCATATCTTTGTCAAAATAAAGATGCATCGAAATAATAATGTTAAATTCAATAGTAATCACAGGTTAGTAGAGGAAAAGTTACTGATTCTTGCAAGAAAGTCACTCAAGCTAAATGTCATTTATCAAGTTATGTCAATGTGTTCAAGCGGTCACATCAAAAATTCAACGGCTTCCCTAAAGTTTTGTGATCTTTGATCAAATCAATAGTAAGATCCTTAATTAATTAATTGAGGTCGCGAATTTCCATGATCACTTTGTACAACTATATATGCAAATGTGGGAAAGTAAATAGTTCTGATAATGGAAACATTGCAGTAGTCACTAGGATCTTTAACTTCATTCACTACGAATCTAGCGCATTCTCTCACCGTTTTGGTGACCAGAAGCAACCCTCACGGGTTAGCTGGACAGCTGATTCTTCGAATGCACACAGTTGCTGTGACCTATGACTTAGTAGCACACATGTTGACCACTGGGACAACGACTCGTATCACTTGCGGTGAGAAATGCACTACCTCGAGCAAAATCTTTCTTCAATTAATACGCTACAACTCCGATCAAATTGGATGCCGTTGTAGTGAAATAGTATGCCAAACGGTGTCTTGTTTGAACCAGCATTAATTTCGATGCACATATTTAGCGGACTGTCAGAATGATTATTGGCCTTGTTGATTTAATATAACATTCAAAAAGAAATTACGTGCTCAATATTCAGTATTTACAGAACACTTGGCCGACTAAATTCGAGGAACTTAAATGAAAACATCTTAGTGTCATACTTCTGCAGCATTTTCCGGAATTT